GCAAAGAGCTGCTTCTCCTGTGTGCTGCTTTAATCCTGTCAGAATCACCCCTCCAGTAGACCTCCCTGAAAGCAAAGCCTGGGGAGAAAGCTCCTGGGTGGTAAGGGAAAGGTGTTTCACTTTTCCTGCTTCTCAGACTGGGGGAGGTGTTTTAATTATTCCACTCTCTCAGTCCAGCAAGAGTGTCCAAAATTAGGACAACACCAAAAGCCTATCCCTGGAGTAAATAACTTTTATTTTGGCAAGCTGGTAGTGTTTTGTTATCATTATCAAGATGATAAGAGAAGGCAGTAGAATTTTTTTTCTGTGTGCCCAAAATTGCAGATTTCCGTGAGGTTTCTGAAAGGCTGAATGAGCAGAAACATATTTCTACAATTAAATGTGTCATATGCAGCAGAGCTAATGCCAGGCCAGGATGCTGACACTGTCAACACAGCATTTGCAGAGCAGACTCGCGGCTCACACGGCATTAGTGCCATCAAAGGATTACAGAAATGTGTGACTTCAAACTAATCTACTTCATAAATCATTTAATATGAATTTTGCAAAAGCCCTCATCAAAATGCTGTCATATGTGATGTAACATAGCATCGACCTTGCTGACAAAGAGCATTAAATTGTCTCTCTGCATGACTGCTGATGCTCCTACCTGTTGCATGGTCATCCAAAACTTGCGTTGGAGCAACTCCAGCTTAATTTGCACACCCACCGCTATGGGAAACAAAAAGAGGGGAGAATGAAGAGAGGAATGTGCAAGAGAGGAAAGACAAGTAGAAGTTAGGAAAAGAGGAGTAAACATTTGCCCAAGGTGATGGCATGGAAATCACAATTGCAACCTGCTTCCAAGTGTGAATGATAAGCATCAGGGTATCAGCACTGAGTCAGACTGCCAAGTGAGAGTCAGAGGTTTAACAAGGGTGAGGAAAAGGGGACACTGACGGTACTGAGGTACTGAGACCTCCCTCACACTAAGCACTATAAAGCTACAAACAAATTAACAAAAAATAAAAATTCCTCCCAAGACACCCCAGGGTGTCATGAACTTTCCTCTTTGTCTTTTTCAGATTTACCTGGCCAGAATGGATGTCTGTGATCACCCTGGCCCCAAGTCCTGTACCACGCAGCATCAATCAGAAATAAAGTAGGCCAGTGTGAGGAAGCGATTAATTTGAAAACCCACCTGTCTCAAGGGGAAATCACAGAGATTTAGATAGCTCCTAAGCCACTACAAATGCACAGAATTATGAATGTCACTTGACAGAAAGTGTGATTAGGAATAGCGATTTGTTACCCCGTCCCAGCCTAGCGCACGGTGGGCTAAGCAGAACTCCGTGTGTGTGTGTCTCTTAATGAAGTGTGCCCTAATTTCTTGGCTTAATTTCTCTTCTATTCCCAGCATTGTGTTCCTGAAGCAAGGCAGGAGAAGAAATGGCGCAGGGTCTCTGTAACACAACAACCCAGCTGTCCCCGGGTAGGTTGCCCACGAGCACATGGAACAACCAGTGCAGCCGTGCACAGCCTGGCACGGTGATGGGGAACAACTGGGCTGTGTGTCAGCTAGTTGAATCCTAGAGCTCTGGAGGAATTAAAGCCTCAAGCAGGACCTTGAAATAGAATATAAAGTGCAAGTGAGGGAGAAAAAGAAACACAAGAGAGGGAGATTCTGAGCCTTTTTTTCACAACTGCCGATATCAGGCGGATGAAGTGTTGCTGTTTCTACAGATTTCCTCTGAATTAGAAAGAGCTTCAAAGGGGGGAAGAGATCCTTTAAATCTGAATCATGCCGTGTGGGTGCTTTTAAACTAACAGTATGAACTGATGCTCTAATTCAGATGGGTATGAATTAAAACCGGAGTATGCAATGGTGTATTTTCTTGACGCATCTTGGCACCCGGCATCAGCTCTACCTTTTATACCAGTGTCCTTGTCACATTCCCACTGCTGGTACATCTTACAAAATCCCACGTATCAGAGGCACACTTCTTAACCTGCCTCTGCCTGCTGTAAACTGAATCTGACTGCCTGTACACGGGAGAAAGGAATGATTTCGTAGAGCTGCATTGCCCTGAGCCTCACAGAGCACAAACCAGACAAGACAAAGAATGTAAAAAAAGGAGGAAGGACAGGGCTGAGTCGAGCCTGGGCGAAGATTCATCACCTTCAGCGAGGCTACTGCAGGCATGGTTTGGCTTGGTGCCCCTGCTGACAAATCAGCAGTCCATGACAGAAGGGAAACGGTGCTGTTGCTGCTGAGTCCAATGAGGCCCACGCACCCCATTTGGGATGTAGCTTTAAATAAATTCATTGCAATCCTTCCAAACCACCTCAAGAAAGAGCCATTCCCCTTATCACAGCAGATCACATCAATGGGGCTGAGCATTACCCAGGATATGGAGTTTTTACGAGACCTGAAGAGGAGTGGATAACTACATAACTAACCTTGCAATGCAGAGCATACTCAGCAGCTCATGTTTTTTGCAGGTGGGAACATTTAGTCTCAAATTGTTCTTCAGAGGGATTTTAGCCCCTGGCTGTGAATCCTTGTTTCTGCCCAGGAGGCATGAGTAGCACATACCAAACCTGGACAGAGTTGCCTGAAACACGAGGAAGAAGAAGACCTGGAAGCTTGCACGGGTGGCCAGTGGCAGGGACAGAAAGTGGAGTCTCTCAGCCCTCTTAATTCCTCTTTGCACATTGCCCACAGTCCTGTGTAACCTATCTGTGCTGTCTGACAGCAAGCCTTGTCCTTTGGATGCAATCTTTTCAGCCCTAACCTCTCCATAGGGGAGAGGGCTTGGACTTACTCATCTTCTCTACACTAGCCCTATTTCTCCTTCCCAGTGGTCCAGCACACATTTCTAGCTAGGGGAATCCATGGAGGTGTGGTGAGCACCGCTCTCCTCCTCACATCATGGTACAGCCTGAAGAGGCTGCTGAAAGCAAAGCTGGGGTCTCTTCTGCCTCGCAGCAAGGTTTGTCTGTCTGGATGGTATCCACCACAGGGAACCGTGCTGGGGGGATGGCTTCACATTCCCGCCTGGCAGCACCACTCCTTGCCAGTTGGCATGGATTGACAGCTACTGGCAAGAACCATGAGAAAATTTCACACATTCAGGTGACCTGAGGAAGACACGGGAACTGAGGAGAAACAGGCCACAGTCACCACCCCCCCAGTGCTAGTAACGAATAGTCGCCTGGGCATCTTCGCGCTGTTGGTGAAGCCAAGGAGAAAGGAGGAAAGCAGCACTTCAGTCTGAGGTAAGGATGATGCTACAGCTCAGGTGAGAAAACTGAAATAAACTCCTCCGTGCTTGTTCCACACTATAAGTGATTGTTAATGAGCCTTTTTGCTCTGGTGGCAAAAGTAAGCTGCATCAGTGGGAAGATCTGAGGTCTATGAAATGATGAATGGCCTCTGCAGAGTGTTCAGAGACACCATGGATAATAGTTTTATTCCTAGTAACGTGCAAGTAACCTGTGCAACTGTAGCATCCCAGAAGTGAAATAAAAGACGAGGACAAGCATTGCTGAACACCTTGCACAGGCAGACATTGCTTCGCTGTGCTGACATGCTACCCACTGTAGCTGTGCACTACTTCCCACCAGCAGGCACCCTGCCTGCAAACCCATGGCTGCAGTGGGCTCTCTCTGGAGCTGTGCACGGAAATAAAAGCCTTCCCCTCCACCTGTTCATCCCTCCATTGAGCATGCCTGCTTCATTAGCTCATCCTCTGCTTGCCTCTCTTTCTGTCTGCATTCTCTGGCTTCTCTCTTTGATTTATCCATATGTTGTTCTCATAAGGAGCTTTCCCCAAGATTTAACTCTTGGGCCTGCTGCACAACAAAAAGGCATAACAAAGAGGCGCAAGATTACATCCTGCAGAGTGCTTATCAAGATTTACCTTGCTGTTCACAACCTGTTTGCATGGCAGACAGTCCAATGGTTAAATAAAACCTGTGATTGAAATAGAAGAAGGTATCAGAGCAGCCATGCCCATACTATCTGTTTGCATTTTCCACTACCTGTTTCTGAAATATTCCCATTTTCCCTCTCGAGCCAGCAGCTCGAAATTTTACTTTAAGTCCTCTAAAAATTTTACTTAAAAAATAACTTCCAGACAAATGAAAATGAACAAAAGGCCCAAACCAGCCTGTTTATGACACTGGACCTGATAGAAGAGGAAGTTCAAGTAGATCAGCAAAAGAGTCATTCCTGCAAATGTGAGCAACCGAGGTCCTCAGCAAGCTGGAGGGAGGCGAGAGAGGGGTCTGATTTTGCAGAAGCCCATGGGAGAGCACAGAGGGAATCCTGACAGAGGCAGTGGGCTGGATTCAGCTGTTTACTGCGCCCCTGTACCAGCAGGCTATGTCAGGGAGGGCAGGGAATGCCTCTGCTACTGCATTGGTGTACCCACATCCGACACTTGCACTGGACATACGGCTGAGCACAGTCTCCCTGCTGCACACAAAATTCAGGGGAATGAATGGATGCAAACACACCTCTCTTTCACCCATTCCCCTTGTCCCAACTATCTCCGACCAGCACTCCTCAAGTTTTCCCTGAATCCCCAAGAAAACAGACACAGGGCTGTGCTGCACCCAAGCAGCTTCTGGGGACACCTGCTGTGGCCAGACAGGATGTGGCCAGCCCACCGTGGGCACCTCTCAGTTAAGTCTCTCTGTTGGACACGCTGCCATCCCCCCATCATCTCTGGAGCACTGGTGGAAAGGGGGTACCCTTCTCCCAGGCCCCCTGGTTTCTCCCCTGCTGTCTCCCCTTCACTGCCACCGCTCGCCTCACTCCTGCACAAAAGCCAGGGCTCGTCCCTTCTCATCCTCATGCCTTTCTCTCCGGGTTTATTGTCATCAGACACAGCAGGCAGGGGGAGAGGTGGAGAGAGAGGGGGAGGTATTCAGCTCGGTGCCTTCTCTTGTAACCTGTGCCTGACCAATCTGCCTCCCGAGGGGCTGTGGGGAGCTCCTCCCGCCCTGGCATCTCCTCACCCCTCCTCGAGCCCCTTAGCTCCTGGCACCCGGAGAGGGATGGCAGCAAGGGTGGGAGGAGGGGGAGAGAGGGACTGACAGCAACTGCCCTTTCTCCAGGATGGGTTGAGAGAAACGAAAACCTCCCGAGCTCCTTCCTCTGGGTGTTTTGGAGCAGATCCTGCCTGCCTGGCGGGGTGACTCCTCTGCACTGTCTGTGCGCGTTCCTGTGCGTGTGCTGCTGCCATCGCAGATGTACCCCCAGCTGTCACTTCACCGCGCACAGTCTCTCCCTCTCCCGCCTCTCTCTCTCTCTTTCTCTCTCCCCCTATTTATTATTTACGGAGGATTACAGTCCCTTTCCCACGCTGTCACCTGGCCGTGCGGCTCCTCTGCCCTCCACGCGGGGTGAGCGGCTGGCTAGGGGGGGCTCCTGCCAGCGAGGGTCCACCGAGAGCCCGGCTGGCAAAAGAGGGACTTTTCTGCTGGATTTGTTTTGGGATTGTACCGGCTTCACTGGAAGAGCTGCTATTCTCACAGGAGGGTCCATTCCAGCCTGAGAGAGGTAAGTAGAGACATCTCTCTTTTGCGTTTTTCCCCCCATCCCCAGCTAAGCGAGATCAGTGGAGCTGCCCCCCAGGAACCGGCTTCCCCGGGGAGGAGAGTGTCAGCAGGGGCAGCACTGTCTGCCAGACAGCACAGTGCACAAGTCTCGGCTGTGCCAGACTGATGGGCAGCGATCTTCCCGACAAAGCAGAACGGCAAACCTGCTGCAGAGGTGCCCGGTACTGGTTCCAGTCCAGTTTCAGTGCCGGCAGCTGGGAGCAACTTCTCCCAGCTGCGAATGGCACCAGCACCTTTCCTTGCACCACGGGCAGCTCAGGTGCAGTTTTGAGGCTTAAGGGCTTGGTGCTGTGGTCACCAGGTGCCAGGCAGCTCCCAGGGAGCCCTGGCTTTTGTCCCCTCCTCGGGACTGTGAAAGGGGTCAGCACGAGAGGTGCCACTTGCCTGGCCCGTGATGACTTTGCTGGCTATCATTTTGGACTCAGCTGTCTGAGTAAGAACAACCTAAAATGGAGAAGTGAGGACCAAAATTGCACAGGTTCAGCACTCAGTACACAGCTTTAGGATGAGGGGAGGGTGCATGTATCTGTGTGTGGGTGTGTGTGCTCACGGACATGACCAGAGGACATGAAGTGAAGGATGCCAAATCACAAGTAGAGCCAAAAATAAGTCCCAAGTTGCTTTCAGCATCTCTGCAGGCTCAACCCGCAATTTTTGAACTTTTGGGCAGAAGGCACAGCACTGAGTGGGGTGGGTGAAACACAGCACAGAGAAGCCTCACAGGCTTTTCCAGCCCTGACTGGCAGAAGAGGGCAAGAATGAGGTCTCAAATGAGCTGATGTGAAGCCCCCTATGGATAGGAGTATATATATAAGCATTAGGTGTCTGTATGGTGTGTGTGTGTGCATACATACGCATGCACAGACACGTGCACACACACACATCCCACACAGGGCATTCTGCCCCCTCCTTCTCCCTCTGCCTGACCAGTTTATTGCTGTCCCTGCATCTCATGCTAATTAAGGGAGACGTGTAGAACTGCAGCTCTCCAGATTTGGGGAGAGAGGATTTTTTAAGCTGTTGCTCCAACCAGGTCATGACTGAGCTGGGCCCCAGGCCCACCACATGGACTGGCAGGTAGCCTGAGTGTGCCACATGTAGCACACCCCTGATGGGAATGGCAGCGAGCAGGGTACAGCACTGCTCTGCTGCTAGTGCCTGACCTGCCACTCAAGGATGGAGAGAGAAATTAAGATCTCATTTGGGAAAGGACTGGAGCAGCTGCTGTTGCACAGTTTAAAGAAGGAAACCCTTAAAAGACAAGGGAACCCTCAAAGGCACACAGGCACTTGTCCTAAAGCAGGGGACATTTCTAGAAGTGAGGGAGCCTTTCCAGCATTGCAGACCATTTTTCTTCTGAGCTTTGTCGCTCAGGTCTGTTTGGGGGTGGGAGGGGGTGGATCTTCCTCTAACTGCTGTGGGCAAACAACATTTGCAAGGGAATTATTCCACATGAGCGAAAGGCTTGCGGGAGTTGTCTCCCTGTCAGACATCAGTGCTGCCTCTGTTAGTGCATCTTGCCCACTTGGAGGAATTATGGTAAATCCTGAGCAAAGGGGTTGTTTGCAAAGAGAAAGGGGGAGAAGCCTTCTTATATAATTTTTATACCAGATCATAGCTTTACCCTTGCCTCCAGCAAAGTGAATGCCACATGCTAGCAAGGTGCACTCTCAGCTTGGATATCTTCATGAGTTACTCCAGTTTCCTGCCCTTCCTCTGGCCTTCTTTTAAGCCTGGTACAGAAAGGATTTTCTAGGCTGTTCAGCACCACAGAAGCCTGATGAAAGCAGACCTGTGTCTCAGCAGAGCTGGGATGCCCAGCAGCAGCACAGGGCCATGAGGATATCTGTAGAGGAGCATTCAAGGAGCAGCAGAGGCTGCAATAGGATGGGGACAGGCTCAAGCCTGTGGAAGGGCATTTCTGGGCAGTTCTTTGGTGACTCTTCAGCACTTGCCTGTTGCTGATCCAAAAGACAGACCAGGCAGTCTCCTGCACTTGCCATGTTTGGTTACAAGCAGCTGCTCACACCGCTTGACATCTGTCCCAGTCCTGAGTGGCTCAAGCCATAAATCAAATGGTCATACTGGGATGCTCCTGCCAGCTGGGGAATGTTTCAGCAAGCTACACCACGACACACACTCCAGTTCTTAGTGGAAAAGGAGCTGGAGTGGGAGTTCTGGGATGTTCCTTCTGCAGCGTGGAAACACGGAAATACCTTGTAACACATGCCTTTTTCCTGCTGTGGCTTTACGAAAATGCTGGCTCACAAAAAAGCTTTGTGTGACTGAGGGTATGAAAATAGCAAGAAGATGTGCATTTTTTTCTATAAACCAGTTAAATTCCAGACTCGAGAGATGTAAGGAAAAGTTGTTTTGCCTTTGAGGGGTGAGATTATGTGAAATATATTATTCACATTGCAAAAAAAAAGCAGTTGAAAGTTGGAAAATGTCGGTACTGGGGGTAACGTACCATCTGCACTGGGTTGCAGTCCTGACTGGTGGGATGACATGCTGTATTTTCATGAGCTGATCATTCAGGGTACTGGCTACATGGTGTGCAAGGAGCGAAGCAGGGGGCTGTTATTTTCTTTGGTACTGCAAAGTGTGCGCCCGTTTTATTTGTTTACTGCCTGCCATCCAAGCCCTGGAGGTAATACATCATTATTCATTGTCTTGTGGTGTTCTGAAGATGTTAGCTGCTACAGTTGCCTTGTAGCTGATGATAGAGAATTTATACTCCTCACGAGGCAAGAGAGAGTGGTCATTTTCCTTGCTTTTGAAGGGAAAGGAGACTTCCGCTTTAGCCACACGGGGAAGGAGCAGCAGGTGCAGGGCTGGAGCTTGGGGCCTCTTGGCTCTCGGTGCCATCAAGTCCTTGAGACCAGTTTGCTGGCTAAGCTGCCAGCATTTTGAAAAACAGCTGTGAGTGTTCAGCAGTTCTGCAAAATGGCCCCTAGGGTCTTGTGTTGGGCACCCGCAAAATTAGGAATGTACAGACTGTGGCCTCCTGCCAAAACTGTGGTTTAATATTCAATTCCGACCACATAAAAATAGCCTTATTTATTACAGTATCCTTATTGTTAGCTTGAGTATCATGTGTCCTTTGCACTGAGTATGGGATGGGGTACTGTGAAAAAAAAGAATTAGTCCTTGGTTGGGTAAGCAAAGGCAGTGCTGTGATGCAGATGTGCAAGTGGCTGAATGAAGATTGGGCAGGTATTATCTCACATTTAAGTGCTTGGCTTTGCAAGCCAAATAGCATATTTGATCACAGGGCAATTTTTTTTTTTTTTAAGTAAAATGTCACTTTCTTGATTCTTTTTCTTTATGAATGGGAAAACAAGAGACTTTCTGTTATTTATGCACTGCAATGCCCCACACCCATCATAGGAAGGACTGAGTCTCAAATTTACAGCAGGGCCATACAAGTCAGAACCTCCCGACCGACTGCAAGCAAAGGCTGTTACTTTGAAGACAGGCCCTGCTACCATGATCCTCCTCACTTCAAGGAGGCCAGGAAGACTCCTTCCCCATGAACCATGCTCTCACACAAGGAATAAAAAAGTAGGACCACATCCTGAGTCTGGAGAAGAGCTGTTAGAGGCAACTTGACTTGGCACTCATCACTTGGGCTCTCTTTCCACTCCTGGTGAGGCTCTCTATTGCCAGTGCTGCCCAAAGCAGGGTATGGTGCTGCTGTGATTTTGCTGTGAGGCACCTGTGTTGGGGCAGAGGGGCTGAAAGTGGGCCCTACTCTTTCCACACCACTTGCATCTAGTGATTTTGATGGGATGTGATCTTTGCCATAACTCTATCTCTTCTGTGGCTGCAAACCCTCCAGAAAACTAAAGTCACATCAAATTTGAAGACCTTCCTCAGATTCAGCAAGCCCTGCAGCATGAGGCTGTGATCTGTGTGCTAACCCAGATGCATCCAAAGATCCTGGCTGGAACTCTGGATTGTAAGAGCTGTCACCACATCTTGTTGAGCTATGGGCAGTGTTCCCAGCTTGTAAAGAGCATAATTGTGTCCCAGAGATCTGCAGGCACCCCTGGAGCTGCAGGCAGCAGCTCAGATCCCACACAGTTTGTGTAGACTTTGCAGGGTTGCCCCTCTTGGGTGCTCTGGGAAGGTGATGGGGCAGCAGAAGAGCTCCAGGCTCTCTCTAACAGGCAGCACCAACAACCTCATGCCACATTGGCGACCAAGTGAGACAGATCCACACAACCCACCGAGGTAGAAAGAGGACTCCTTCAGAGAGCAGCACAAACGCACCGTGTGTGAGCAGTGGGAGTCAGCCTTTCCTGGGCAGGTTTGCCAGGAGCCGTGTGCGTGCTGGGTCACCGATCCCCTCGCTGATAAGAGCTGAGAGGAATTTTACTGCTGGCATCTTGCGCTCTGGCCCAGCAATGTGCGCGCATGGATGGACGATCCCTGCCCCTGTGAACACACCCAGGGCACAGGCTTGTGAAACAGTGGGGAAGTTCTTCCCTTGTTGGACCGTGTTTTCTACCTCCTCTGTCTCTTCCTGCCCCAACTGCTGGAGTGGCAAGACACTGCCCTTGCAGCTGGTGGTCTCATTCTGGGAGCCTGGCAGCTGGGGAAGCACAGCTGAGGTGGTGAGTGATGGAGAGGGGGAGGGACTCCCTCACTGAGCAGCCTGGGTGGCAGCAGTTCACCACACTGGCATCTCCACAAGAAGGATGAGTAACAAGAGCCAAGCACTAGGAAGGCCAGCGAGCTGGAAGTTCTGGGGTATTTCAGAATACAGGGTATAGAAAAAGGCAAAGGCAGTTTTTGGGCTAATGCAGACATGAATGATGGCAAACATGCAGGTGTGGGGCGTTTTGGGTGCAAGAGATCACCTAGGCTTGCAGAATCTCACCTCATTTTAGGAATGAGAAGCCACAAGGAGAAAAGCTTATGGCTGAAGTGCCTTGG